CTTGGTGTTTCCAAAGCAGATCTCTTGGATCCTACTTCATCTGACGCTGCTGTGAAGCAGGCTCACGCTGAAACTCACGTAATTCAAGAAACGAAAGCTTACTTCTCAGCTAATGGGGTTAATATTGAAGCCTTCAAGCAGCGGGAGCGTGGAAACACTGCTATCCTTGTAAAGAACTTTTCGTACGGCGTCAAGACTGATGAGCTCAGGAAAATGTTCGAACCATTCGGGCAAATAACGAGGTTACTCATGCCCCCTAGTGGAACGATAGCTATCGTTGAGTTTTCGAGACCAGATGAGGCCCAGAAAGCTTTCAAGGGACTTGCCTACCGGAAACTCGGAGACTCTATCCTATTCCTGGAGAAGGCTCCCAAGGATCTGTTTGATGCTGCAGCCGTGCCACAGAAGGCAACCATAGAGACTAAGGCCGTCTCTCAAGGCTTCTCCACCGCTGACACTTTCGCGGCAGATGAGGTTGATGACCTTACGCCCACTACAACCCTCTTCGTAAAGAACCTCAACTTTGCTACTACGACACAGAGTTTTGTGGACTTATTCCGGCCACTGGATGGCTTTGTGTCTGCTAAGATCAAGACTAAGCCCGACCCTAAGCATCCCGGACAAACGCTCAGCATGGGTTTCGGTTTCGTGGAGTTCAGGTCGAAGGCTCAGGCCCAATCTGCGCTTGCCGCCATGAATGGCTACAAGCTTGATCAGCATGAACTGGTAGTTAGGGTGTCTCACCGTGGAATGGATGCGGCTGAAGAGCGGAGGCGTGAAGATACCGCGAAGAAGGTTGCGGCCAGAAGGACGAAGATCATCATTAAGAACTTGCCGTTCCAGGCCACCAAGAAGGACGTTCGGTCACTCTTTGGAGCCTATGGGCAACTGCGCTCTGTGCGGGTTCCTAAGAAGTTTGACAGATCGGCTCGCGGTTTCGGTTTTGCGGATTTTGTAAGCGCTCGCGAAGCGGAAAACGCTATGGACGCGTTGAAGAATACCCATCTTCTGGGCAGAAAGCTGGTCCTGGAATTTGCAAACGAGGAGGCGATCGATGCCGAGGAAGAAATCAAGCAGATCGAAAAGAAAGTAGGGGAACAGATGGACAGGGTCAAGCTACAAAAGCTTGCCGGGCCTGGGCGCAAGAAGTTCACTGTAGGGGCCCAGGACGGCGAAGAGGACTAAGTCCCTGCTCTTTCTCCCTGTTAGTAGGGACAGACAATAGCAATGGTACGATTTTGATGTTTATATCCCTTGCGTCTCGGACACTGAGCATGGAGTGCGGACGCAGGTTAAACACGTTCCTGCGGCTGTCAACACGTACATACGCGCGCGTCCTGCAGAGTTACCCGGCCGCTCGTGCAGTGAAGTCTTTCATCCGAGTCTATTCCTGTCATCCCATCCCGGGTTCCTTTATCCTCGCCGATTCAAGGCTTCTTACCCTTAACTCCTTATACACCTAGTTGCTCGAACCCTGGATATCCAAGTGAAGACTAGTCGGTCCTGGGATTGTCCAATTTGTCCAGGCCATACATTCCAACATGATCTACGTAACCACCTCTTACATTCCACTCCCGTGGCACTGGACGATGTCGTTGGCTACTGCTCATTCCAGAAAATGGCCATTGCCACGGACTTGGACGTCTAGCTGCTCCAAAACGTATCTCAAATTAGCAGTCACTGCTTGTCTCGTGCACTAAAACCTCCGAGGAGCAGCTTACTGGTTCGTGCTCAGGGAGCATCCCTTGCATGGGTCTTCCGCTTGTTCCCATCGTGCAGTTCCTTTCCTGCTGATTTGCTCGGACACAGGATCTTCCTTCGTTCATAGCTCGACCTGGACGCGTGAAGCTTGGGAGGAGATTCCTTTCCCCGCCTTGAACAGTTGACATAGCCCTTGGAGGGGTGGTGTATCAACGAGCAGCGTGATTCAGCTATGCCACTAGGCCTCCCTCTCCAGGGAGAGTAGTGGTTTCCTATAAACACCATGCTCTTCGCTCCCACATTCTCTCTCCCAATTCTTACATTCTCTCCAAGCATCTACGTTCTTGATCGCTGGTTTGTGACTACTGGTTTCTTTGGTACGGCGGTAGTAAGCATTTTGCTGTCCTCCATCACCCTCCTCTTTGGCATTCTCTGTCATTCTTTCCCAGAGTCAATCCTCTCCGGTGGTCCGCTCGATGGCGCACTGGCAAACGGGGTGTATTGTGCCTCAACACCAGTCAGCTCTTGAGAGCATCGGTGCCCATACGGACAGGGCCCTGCAGAACACCTCTGGGAACGTCCAGACATACTCTGACAACCTAGCCGACAGCAGCACTGTTGGTCGTGACGACCAGCTGCAGCAACTTGCCTTCAAGTATCCTCAACCCCCAGTTCCAACACATCCAGTGCCCACTGTTCCCACCACCCTTCAGCCCCCTCAGAACCTCCGGCTCCAGAGCAAGAAGCTCCGGCGCCTGCATTCATTTGGGCCCAGCCTAATCGGTCCTCGTAGCAGGCCCAGAAGCTATCTCAGGTCCAGCAAGTATCTGGAGTACAGGTCCCGTCCACGTCGAGACACTGGCAAAGATGGGGAACCGGTATGGTCGGACGAGCTTGAAGACGCGTTTCAACAAGGTGAGAAAAACAATCCATTAGCTGCACGACATATGAGTACTAATGTTGTGATAGCTCTCGAGGCGAATCCGCCAATGGGCAGACGGAAATGGTCAGAGCGAGGAAAGTCATATGGTCGAAATGAGCTCATTGCTGAGTTCATCTACAAGAAAACTGGTAAACGAAGAACTCGAAAGCAAGTCTCCAGCCACCTCCAAGTCCTCGACTCGTTCCTCAAAGGAGACCCCGATTGTAAGTGACAAAGCCAAGTATACTAAAGTCGGACCGAGCTAATATAAGTATCTAGGGGAGCGACTCGTACGAGAAGAGGCGAACGTCCGCTCGAACAACCAACATCCGCCCGCTGGTCCAAGATGGGGGCCTGCCATGGATCCTCCCTTGTCAAGTCATAATGGCACTCACCTCCACCCCACCTATCATGACCCTATGAGGCAGGCCTATGGAGAACTGCCGCCTACCCCGTTTTCCATGAACGCCAGCTGGCCCGAGAGCAACTTCAGTACTATCCAAGGCCTCGGGTTCGGTATGTGGGTAAACGAGCCAGACAAGAACGATCGTATTGAGGACGCGAGCCATATCTACAGTCGCCTTCAAGACGACCAGCGGCATCCGGTAGCGCCGATCTCTTTGAATGAGATCAGAAACTGGCAAACATCCTTTCCTTACCTCAATTCGCTGATGGCGAATTCCAATGGATCATTGGACTGCGACATTATCCTAATCGAATCCAACCTGAAGTTGATGGATGACTTCCCAGCTGCTCGCTCTAAACTCGGCATTCACTTGGAACTAGATTTTGCCCAGGCTAGTGCGGCTGGAGTTCCGATTCTCAGTGAAATGGAGAATTGGTCCTCCAAGATTTACATGTATGAAAATGGCCAAGAGATCTATCAAGGGCGTCAAGAAGTTGCGAGGCCGACGCACACCGCGACGCACACCAAGGTGAAGCCTCACTTTGAATCTAAATGGTGGGCGAATCGCTTCACCAAGCTCACGCAAGATCAAAAGCTGGCCGAGGATGCTGGACACCATGGCCACGAGCAAGCTCGGGAGTTCCTCCGCCACCTGACCGTAGTTCAAGAAATTCGAGCTATGACACCCTACAGCTCACGGAGAATGTCCAACCCTTACTCTGGACATGCCGTGAGTGAGAAGAAGAGGGTGGCAATCATCCTCTGGAAATTCCGACAGACGCTGCCCCGCGACGTGGTTGGCACTACAACATGGCGTAGAGTGGTTTCGTCAGATCGAATCCCTCACGCAAGCCCCAAAGCAGCGACTGGCATCGATCTTCCTCCCCCAATGTCGCTGGCTGACTCGATACTCTTGAACCGGCCGGGCCCTAGCGTTTACCATCAACCCCAACCGCACGAACTCCTTCACAACAATGGAGTTTCTCAAAACCCTTGGCCTCTGTATTCAACAGGCCAGGAGAGCGTTGCACAAATGTTCAACGCACCTTTTGATTTCATGAGTCCACTTCCCAAGCAAGAAGACCGCCTTAACGATAAGATCGCCGTGACCTTGGGTCTCGATGGCTTCCCAAGCCTCCAATCACATGATATCAGCCAGCCGACCAGCCTCAACGGGCCCAACAGTGGCACAAGCATTCTTAGCATGCCAGAAGTTCCTTTGTCGCATTCCTCTCATGGTCCATACAGCCTTGAGCATGACAGCCACTATGTCCACAGCCAGCCACTTGGGGTCAATGTGCACGACAACAACGCCCTGCTGAACGGCATGCTGGTGACGAGCGCACAGTCTATCGACGATATGAACAACAGCCAGGCATCCTGGATGCCACCAACCACTGCAATGTCCGGGGACATCCCCGGCAGCCACTACCCGCACATTGGCTTCCCGTCATCCGAGCACCACGTTGCGGTGCCCCGTGAGCCAAATCCAAGCCACAGCTATGACTTTATGCCCGAGGAGCTCGATAAGTGGCCGAGCAGCCTGCCGACCGATATGAATGGAGGAGCGCATGAGCACGCGCACTCTTACACCGCGAGTAATACAGTACAGGCCGTTTAATGACAGGCCGAGCGAGACTACTCAATGATAATTATGGCGAAAAAAGTATTCTTAATAATGTGATGGGCCGGTTAATCTTCGATTCATATGCAGTGTAAAATAATGGCAGGATACCTTTTTACAATGTTTATTCATTATTTCTTCTTAAAACAATACCTTCATTTACACCTAGAACTACGTAGTAAGTATTATTCCCCAAGTTGTAAACACAGTACTCCGTAGTGGTAGAATCAAAATTAGGGTCAAGTGGCGGCATTTAGCCGGCAGATGGATGCATTTAGCCGGGCCCGACTTGGGATGGCATCCGGCCAGCCCTTGGATAAGTTACTACCCCAATTTAATACAGCCGCCACAAATTCATTTAGCCTCCAATGCCGCTATCTGTGCCATGTATGGCGCCTCCAGTGGATACGCGCAATGAATTTGAGTTCATAATGCCATGACCGAGGGGCAGTTACTTATTACCCCTCCAAACCTTCCCTTTCTCTCCCTTCATCCCCCCCTGATCCTACTTTGACCGCGTCTCTATACCTTGCCTCAACACGACCTTGTTACTCCTTCAATCACCATGGCCTCTCCCACCGTCAAGCTAAACAGCGGCTACGACATGCCCCTCGTGGGCTTCGGTCTCTGGAAGGTGAACAACGACACCTGCGCTGACCAGATCTACGAGGCCATCAAGGAAGGATACCGTCTGTTTGACGGCGCCTGCGGTACTGCTCCCCCCATAAAGCACTACCAATATTTCCAAACTAACACATGAAACATAGACTACGGAAACGAAGTTGAAGCCGGCCAAGGCGTCGCGCGGGCCATCAAAGACGGTCTCGTCAAGCGTGAAGAGCTCTTCATCGTCTCCAAGCTATGGAACAGCTTCCACGACGGCGACCGCGTAGAACCCATCTGCCGCAAGCAGCTCGACGACTGGGGCATTGACTACTTCGACCTGTACATTGTGCACTTCCCCATCTCACTGAAATACGTTGACCCTGCTGTCCGCTACCCGCCGGGTTGGATGTCCGAGAACGGCAAGCTGGAGTTCGGCAACGCCACGATCCAAGAGACCTGGACGGCGATGGAGTCGCTCGTGGACAAGAAGCTCGCTCGCAGCATCGGTATTAGTAACTTCTCTGCGCAGCTGGTCATGGATCTGCTGCGGTATGCGCGCATTCGTCCTGCCACGCTGCAGATCGAGCATCATCCGTACCTCACGCAGACAAGGCTGGTCGAGTATGCCCAGAAGGAGGGGTTGACAGTTACGGCGTATAGTTCTTTTGGACCATTGAGTTTCCTTGAGTTAAGTGTGCAGGATGCGGTGAATTCGCCGCCGTTGTTTGAGCATGAGCTTGTTCAGGGCATTGCGGAGAAGCATGGACGCACGCCGGCGCAGGTGTTGTTGAGGTGGGCGACGCAGAGGGGTGTGGCGGTTATTCCCAAGAGTAATAACCCTCAGCGGTTGAAGCAGAACCTGGAGGTTACCGGGTGGGATCTGGAGGAGGACGAGATTCGGGCCATTGCTGGGTTGGATCGCGGGTTGCGGTTCAATGATCCTTTGGGAGTGAGTTTTATCCCCTTTTTCTTCCATTGTATCAATATGTGGAAATGTTTACTAACTTGGATCACAGTACGGACTCTACGCCCCTATTTTCTAAACGACCCAGCTATGAGTGTATATACGATATATGAATACATACCAATCTTGTAGATGTTATAACTTGATGCATGTGACATGGTTGTAGATAGATAATAGATAAGATAAACCCGCCAAGACCACCGCATCGCGATAACCAACATTTCTCCATCCCATCCATCCATCTCCCATCATCCACTCACCTTAACATCCACTCCTTCAATACCAACCCAAATCCCAGCCCCAATCCCAATAAGAATGAACAAAATGACCCTAAAACCCCTAACCAGCAGCATCCACATCAAAACGCACCCAGCCCCGCGCTCCCTCTCCGAAAGCAAACTCATTCTCTCCGCACTCCAGAAATTCGGTGAAGTCGTGACATTTCGAAACCTAAAAGTACATCCCTCCCTTTCCCCTATCCCCTCTCCCTCGTTTACCAAAACAATGCTAAATACAATAATGGTGGATATAGTACGACCCCACAAACACATCCCCCAAATCCGCACACAATACCATCGCCATCTTCGAGTCCGCGGCCGCGGCGTCTTCGGCCATTGCGGCGTCGCCGATTAGTATCCCTGTACAATCTCAAACACAAACACCAAGTCAATCGCAAAGCCAGAGTCTGGAGAGAAAAGATGAATCTCCCTCCCACACACCCTCCATACCATCACAGTCACAAGCACAATCACAATCCCAAGGACCGATCCTAACATGCACGATCCAACCATCGCGACATAACCACGTCTCGGCGATGACGCGCAACCCATACCATACGTTCTTCTACGTGGATAAGGACAGCCATATGTATAGGGATCTGGTGAAGAGTGGCATACCGTTGGATTATTTGGCGGATGGGCCGATGAGGAGGAAGGCGCATGTGCCGGAGCGGGTGAAGAGGATGCTGGATCGGGATGTGTGGAGGTTTGGGGGGAAGAGTTTGATGGGGTTGTATCGGTTTGGGGTGGAGAGTGAGAGTGAGGGTGGAAATGGTAAGGAAAGTGGGGAGGGTGAGAGGAAGGTTGACATCGGGGAGGGTGAGGGGACGAAGTGAGGTGAAGAGGAATGTTGGGATGATGATTGTATGATTTGTTTCCTTTTTTTTCTCTCTGTATAACAGGGTGGGTCGGTTGGATTGTACATGTATGTATAGCGGGCTACGTACGTCACTTCGTTTATTGTAATTCTAATAGGTGATGGGTAGGTGGGCGGGTACATTAATAGCTATGGATGAGGTTGATGGCATGTAAGATGAAGAAATCGTTCCCTTACACAACGCGGATATACGCTATGTTTCGTTAGCATCTCTAAGCATCGACAAGTAAAGAAAGGAGACTTACTCGCGTCAACCTGCATGATATGCGGTATCGCCAACCGCACCTTGTTCCGATACAATGCTGGCGCTCTCGTCTGTAGCGGGTTGCCCTCAAAGTACACCGTCTGGAGTTTCTCCTTGTCCCGGAGTTCGCGCTCCACTTCATCGAAGCTCGACAGTTGGTTGTTGGACGCCCACAGCTCCTCCAGATTCTTCAGATGAGACACATGTTCCAGCTTGGCCACCTGGTTGTTGGAAAAGTCCAGCACGCGCAGCGAGGTGTTCTCCTCGAGACCGCTAAGGTCGGTGATCGCGTTATGCGACACGTAGAGTTCCTCCAGGTTCTTCAGGTTCGAGAGCCCACTGATACTCGTGAGACGGTTCGACTGGATAGAGAGGATGCGCAGGTTGGAGAGGCCATCGAGGTTCTATCATCACCGCAGTCAGTCAGCCAACGCACATCACACCCAAGACTTACAACGCAACCGACGTACCTTCAATTCCGTGATCTTATTCTTCCCCAACCACAGCTCCTCCAACGCCTTCAGGTTATCCAGATTCTCAATCTCCTGCAAGCAGTCAGAACGATACCCCAACAAACATCTCAAACACATCCAAAACCCACCCGAATCCTATTCGCCCCCAGCTCCAGATTCCTCAACGACGTAAACGTCTCCACCCCCTCTATCTTCGAGATCTTATTCTGCACAAAATACAGATCCGTCAACTTGACCAAATGCGAAATATTCTTAACATGCTTAATCTTATTGAAGCTAAGATCCAAGCTGGTCAAATTCTCGAACTCATCAAGTCCCTTCACATGCGATATCAGGTTATCGTAGAGATCGAGTTCCGTCAACGACTTGGCAACTTCCGTGGGGAATTCGATTCGTGTGATTTGATTCTGTCGGAAACATAATCTCTACATCATCCACCGTTCAATTAGCACTGTATCGCGCGACCACACAAATACTGGGTAACCCTGCCATACCTTCACCTTGGGAAACCGCTCCAACCGCAACGCCGGAAGCGAAGTTATGCGACAGTGAACGAGGTCAATTTCCTGATGCGAGGCGTGTTAGCTAACTGGCTGTGTCCATCAATCAACGAACGCGTCGCGTCGGAAGAAGTATCAGCGTATACCTCTGCTTCCGGGTCCTCGTCCTCCAATAGATCTGCACACAAAACCCAACCATCAGTATATTGTCCTTTGTATCACCGGTATACTATAGCACAGCATCCCGGTATTCATGGATGTTGATCGACATACCCTCATCGGCCTCGATCTCCTCCACAGGCGGCGCATCCGAGTCCGAGTAATCGGGGTCTTCTAGGGCTTCCGGGTTCGTGATCGTGGCTTTCGGTTCGACCCGTAGCTTTCCGTCCCAGCCGTTTTTGTCCTTCATGTTGAGCGATGGGGTGGGTGGGTGTGTGTGTGTGTGTGTGTGTGTGTGTAGGGTGGTCCTGGGAAAAAAAAGTGGTTTGGTGGTGATGCAGTTGGAGGCGGGGAGATTGGGTATGACGCTGCCAAGAAATATCAGGAGATCGTCGGAGCTTTGGATGGAGGCTCAAGGAAGCGGACACAGCCTTGCAGGGGAAATATGTATGTATATATGTATGAAAGAGTTCAGGACGGGGCTAATCGGGGAATACTCACATGAGCTGACACGATGTAGTGCGGACAAAAGCGGGATGCGATGGAAGATTTGGAGATGACCGACCGATCGGTCATTATTGCCGCGGCGTGATCTCAGCCCGCCTTCGCCCGTTAAGAGGCGATCCACTCTACGCTGTAGTTTAGATGCTCGATATATCGCCAATAATTCTGTCCATTATACGTTACCGCCTGTTTTACTCGTTACTTCTGATCTGTACTACTCTGAAACTCGGCCGTCTCGTGAAATGGTCAATTCAAAACTACTTAAACACGGGACAAGCTGGATGGTGGAGGCGGACGCTTTTATGTACAGCACGCACGCCCAATCAGTACATATACATTGCAAAGTCCGATCCCATGTAAGTCTGGAACCGTTCAGACTATGCGTGTACCAGAAGCAGCGACAGGCGCTTGAGACATGAATCAAAATGCCACGCGCTGGGGAGTCTCCAAAAAATAGACCATGGCGAACCAATGACAAAAACAACGCTGGGTTTTGGGGTTCACATCTTCGGGCACAAAAAAGACTAGGAAAATAACCAGGACGGCGGGTCGAGCCTCTTATGGGCTGCATGTTAAGCAAAAAGAACAAAATGGGGACCATGAAAGGAATCAAAAGTAGAAGGAGACAGATGAAAGAAAAGAGGGAATGTAAATCGGGGAGCGTATACATGAGATCAGCAAAATTTTGGCTGATGACCAAGACTGACGCCTGCGGTATGCAACAGGAAAGAAAACTTTAAACACTAGGAAACAAGACTGGCGGGGGTAATCTGGTATCTGCTCGCTGGGAGCGCAAGAACATGGCCGGTGCTCGGAAGAAAAAACGGTGCGAATGACATGGGGATAAAGGCAAAAAGATGATGATGGGGAGGAAAAAGTTAAGGAAAACACTCTTCACTGTGGAATTGCCGCGAGCGTTCAGATCCCAGACGAAGCTGGATTGAGCTGCCGGGACGGTCTGGCTGCTCGACACGGCAGACGTTCCATGCGTGTAGTTGATCAAAAATCAGATGACTCTTTCTTTTGAAAACCGAGTGGACCCGCAAGGTGAAGATAAGTATGCTGTAATGCAAATGCCAGAAAAACTAGAGTTACAGGCATCACAATGTAATGTCGAGAACCAGACTAACGTCTTTCACTTGTGCCCCGGCAAGGTCTTCGAGGACGGGAATCAGATCGAGAAGCTCGTTATCGTGGGCGTCAGAGAACCAGCTGCTGATGGGTATCGCATGTTGAGGGTGGAAGATATACGAAGTTGGGGAATTATCGATGATAATCGTATCTCGTAGGTCGCGGCCTACTTGAGAGAGATCCTAACCAGGGATCAGCAAACAATTCACGCAAGACAATGTACACTGAGTGGAACAAACCTTGACATAGTTGCCTTGATGGTTATAGCAACTATCCCTGAACAGTCGGTGGTGGACAACGTTGTGAATATCTAGCTGATCCAGCAGAGGATCACCGTACTAATGAAGCATGAGCGAATGCGTAGCCGATAATTCTTATTTTGGAATAACTCACCTTCGACACAGAAGCAGTAAAGACAACCACTTCATACAACTCACCCACCCTTTTCATGAATTGGTCGACACCAGGTCTTTTTATAACGTAGATGTTGTGATATTGACCTTCAATCTCCACGGGAATGGTAAAATCCGCGCGTTCAAGAACCTGAACATAGGTTAGTCTAACACTGGGTTGATGAGAAACTGAGGATGGCGGACCTTGAAACTACTGTGAACCAACGTCTCGTCCAAATCGAGAACCAAGCATTTCCTGTCCCGCAGATGGGGAAGAGGTGGCGGCAAGAGGAATTGCTGTTGCGTCTCCTCTAGCATTGTATCGGCGTGGTGTCCAGATGGGCCCGTCGGCGGAGGCAATTCAGCTGGAATTACTGTCGCCTCCTCGTCGTGTGAAGTATACTTCTCGTCGTCATAGCTATTTTCGGACGCCGGGGGCTTAGGCAATTCATCCAGCTCTATAGGAGCAGTCGGAGCATCCTGAGACTTTTCAATGAGGGGAGAGATCGCTTGCTCCTCTGTTTTCTGAGCGGGTTCCTCCGCTTCGCTGGCAACA